AAAATGCACAACGAGCATTATTAGCATTAAGGATGTAATTAGGTCAGGTTTAGGAATTTGTGTCAGATGTTCGGACTACTTGTTTTTTCCTACAGGGTAAACTATTTTGCCCCATAACACTCATTTTTCTTTTCATACAAGACTTCAATAGCTCATAAAAGGTCATTTACCAAAATTTAAGCAGATCCTAGATTTCTTTTCTTTCGATTTGAGACCCAAATAATACCAATGCAAATATATTAAGGTAAAAGTACGAGTCAGCCTTTTTCCGCCATTTTTAAAAAATTGAATATCTATGAAGAAACCTATCAATATTTTTAGCTTATTTTGTTTCTTAACTAATGCTTTTCTGACTTAATGTATCAATTTTAAATTCTAGATTTTTTTTTAATGTCACCTAAGTACATCCTTAACTGAAAGCTAGTACAAAATCTACAACAACTGATAAATAAATCATGTTCTCACAGACTAAATTATCAATCAGTCCACTGTTCAAAATACACTGCTGACTAATTGATAGTAATGAAAAAGTTAGAAGTTATTTAACGATAATCATTTTAATCTTTTGATTTAAGGTGGGTCTAATGCACTGATGAATGTATCTAATGGTCCAAGACATAAGATTTAAATTAGGCTGAAGCCCAGGGCCGAAAGCCCGTGTTATCACCAAATACGTATACCATATTGCTGTTGTTGAGAACTTAAAAAACGCTTAATTTGCTCACCAGCAATGTACACTATTCAACTGTTTATTGATAAAATTGTAGCAAAGAACGCCAATTAACAAATATATCAGTTCGTATACACTGTCCAGTCATTTCCTGGTTTGTACATTAAGGTCAAAGAAGTGTTTGCACAAGTAATGAAACATCAATGAACAAAATATACCCTGAAATTTCCACATTAAGATCAACAGTCATTATTAAGATTTCTCTGGCATGGCTGTTGCAGAAAATTTTCTGTATCACTATGTTAATGAGAAACACTTACGAATTAACAAAAAATACCCGGTTATTTTTGCAATTTATATAACTGTTGCAGAAACGTTTAAGCTATTTACTGAACCATAACTTGACCGAAAGTTTTCTGCGTCAGTTATATCTTAGTAATGGCTTTTCGCTTTGACGGATGTTTATTCTTAAACTTCAGTGATCAATTTTCTTATTTGATTTTGTGTATGCCCCACCTAGGGGCATTATGTTGTTCGGTCTGTGCGTCCGTTCGTCCGTACGTCCGTCTGTCCCGCTTCAGGTTAAAGTTTTTGGTCAAGGTAGTTTTTGATGAAGTTGAAGTCTAATCAACTTGAAACTTAGTACACATGTTCCCTATGATATGATCTTTCTAATTTTAATGCCAAATTAGAGTTTTGACCCCATTTTCATGGTCCACTGAACATAGAAAATAATAGTGCGAGTGGGGCATCCGTGTACTATGGTCACATTCTTGTTTTAATTATTTGGGGACGTTCAATTTAAATCCGATGCCTCGTGTAAAGCTCTCTTCACGTTAAAAACCCTTACAACAACTCTTTGAGGAGTACGAAGTTACCTGTTGCAAGGCAGAATGTCTGTCCCTAACCAGCATATCCTCATTTTTCAGTGGCAGTCCAAATTTCACCAACATTCATCCCGGATGGCCTCTATTACAGGACCTACCTATTGTATTTATTGTTCATTTGCTCTCGTCCTGAAATTGCATGAAATATATGCCACTGGACGTTAAGCAGCCAACAATCAATCAATCAATTGAATATAGCGCTATGTTCTTTTTAAAATGTTGTGAGTTGGTACCCGCACGCGGTAGGTGTGTTCGACTGCAATTTAAACTTTTGACTATAATTGTCAGGTTTCCTGCCGAAGGTCGGTGATTCTCTCTGGGAACTTCGGCTTCCTCCCCCAATACAAACTGATCCCCACGATAAAGCTAATAATGCAGCCGAAAGTGGCGTTATCCACCATTTTGATATATATATACAGCGATCACTCTGTGAATAAGATTACGATCATACATTTTCTCTGTTATTCATTTTGGAACTTTTCTTAGCCTAGTACAACTTAAAATGTGCATCAGACATATGTTTACATTAAATGTATATGTAGGTATTCACAGTTTGTATGTATAACAATTAATTGACTAGCTCTTTGGAAGGAACTGCGTCATGATCATGACCTTTTTTTTTAATCCATAGAAAAAATATTTATAAGTCCCAGATTTAATGTTTTATCGAAGTTGTTGACAGGTTTTCCAGAGACATATAACTGATATATAATACATTCAATTATTGCATATTGGTATTGTCCTGTATGTCTATGGTCGTTTATAGTTTTGGCAACTGGATGTGCAATTTTTTAAAAATTCGAAAATCCATAATTAAGCTGGTTTTCCCAATCATTTTAGGGAATTTTCGTGAGTTGAATACTATATTAAAGGTGATATTATATATACATGTATAATAACAAATGTAAACCGCCGTTGAAGGAATGTAATTGTGGTTATATTGACTGTGAGTTGTAAAGCACAAAGAATTTTAAAGAAGAACTTATTCAATACACCAATTTATCTACCAAAACAAATTGGAATAAGCACTAAGAAATTTTAGAATAAAGGTAAAAATCGTGATAAATTTGATATTTATAAACATGATAAACAAAGAAATTCATTAATTATCTAAAAGAAAATATGAGTATGAGCCACTTTAAAATTTTAACATAATGAAAAATCTAAAATTGAGGGCGTAAAATTGGAGATCAGTGTTATTATTAAAAACTAAATAAAATCAGAGACATATATACACATATGTGTATATATGTCTCTGATAAAATGAAGCATAAGCATTATATTAAACTGTAAACAAAGAGTCTATTCAAGCAAACAAATTAAAAATGTATTTAGCGATGCCAAACCACAAATTTGTTAACATTGAAAAATTTGATAAGCTGAACATATATCTAAGCAGGAACCCATGAGGACAGGTAATTGCAGATTCGCATATCGATCAAGGATTTGTATAATAAGTAGACAAATCCTTGCATCGATCAATTATGCTAAAATAATATCCGTCGCTCAGAAACATGCAGCATCTTACAACTGGTTTCCTGTTAAGAAATATGATATGAGTATACGTTTGCATTTCGAAAGTAACCAGACCTTACTTTCACTTTCTCGCTGTATTAATAGATGTAACAAGAGAAAACGCAGCTTGCAACTTTAAGAGACACCTTACCAAAATGAGTATGATTGCAAAATTGCATAGCAAACAAAAGTCACATATATGCCATTACAATTCATGACACCACTACAACTGATACTTTAAAGTTTAAAAAATCGTTATGCACTTCATTTACATTTTATAGTACTTTAGTTTAGATGTGTGTTAGAATGGAAAATATTGGATCAAATAATGAATATTGTCTAAGCTTTGGAATTTATATACACCTAAGGAAAATATATGTAGTGTATAGGAATTCTGCAAGATAAATATAGGTAATACAATAATGAAACAGATACCTAACAACAACAAAAAAATATCTAGAGATCATTAATTGTGTAAGTCAACAGTGGTTTGATTCCGCCAGTGTACTTTTTCTGGAGAAGGAAAATCCCCATTGATTTTTATCCAAAAATTCACTAGGTTTTTCTATCCAGGTCCAGTGTAAAACATCCACCTGTCATTATAAGGTTCTAAAAAGAGTTTTTTTTTAAGGGGAAATATATATAAAATGTGGCTCAGTAGTTTTTAGTGTATTTGAAACTTGCATAGTTGATTTATGTAAAAAGTGGAGAGTTTTCATCCAAGGAATGTTCACACTAGTGTTTTTGTACCGGAATGATTGCACTATATATAGTTATTTTATACCGGGATTAAATTACACTAGTGCTTTAGATCCATACATTGATGAAGTTATTAATACTCATTTTGAACACACGATAACACAATAATGCTTATTAACGAATAAGATTTAAATAATTTTTCTACGCAAATCTATAAAATCACTGATATGCTTTTAAATTGTCACTAATTGTAATATTTATATTTATTGGATTGCCGAAGTTTTTCTGTGTATTAGCTTTTCGGTCAACTTAGATATAAAATCATATCTTCTTTGTCAATATCAAAGGATGCTTCTATAATTGAAACTTTATGTAAGAACAAATCTGCTCTTTAAATTTGGTTTATATCAAGTTCAATGTCCTGATCATTGATAAAGTATTTTGAGTTATAAAAATATCCTCCTCATCATCATCTATATTATTTACTGGACTGACTCAGATTAATGAAACTAGTTCCTTGAAAATCATTCTAATTTTAACCCATTTATTTATGTAAACAATAAACCGGTCTAATATAAACAAAACAACGATATCAAGATCGACGCTTTCACACTATTTACATCCAATATTCTCTAGTGAAAAACAGTTACCCAGAATAAATACACAGCGGAATGAAAGTACGCTTACAATTGCACTTTCTGAAATGGTGAGTTATGTGCTCATTTCCCATATCCCGCTTTTTTTATAATTTCCCCCTCTTTCCCTCCTTTTTCCCCCCAGATCCCTCTTTTTTCCTTCTTTTAATATCCCACATCCAAAAATCGTGTCATGCCACTAAATGACAGATGAGTGACCCTTAAGTAAACAAGATATCAAGCTATAAATTCTACAAAAGTGGATAAAAAGTTAAAGCAGCTAGAATATCAAAGATCAACCACCAAAACTGAATTTCTATAAACATGATAAAGGACAAAAGCATTAGAATATATAACTTAAGAGACAATCATGATTGGTGAGATAAGCAATATGAACATTATTAAATGGCAGCTTTAAACTAATCCAGACTTTTTACTGGTTGCACTCTAAACTTTGTCTAGTTTGGGGGACTGCGGGCCATCCCATTTTTCAATATCCTGGATCTGCATCTGGTCAGGTTTGTGCCAAGAAGGTATGATGAATGTTCCCAACACCATAAAAGATAGATTATGCACTTTTAAAATTTGTTTCAGGAAAAAAATGACTGCCATAAAAGTATTCATTTCTCACAGTAATGAACTTGAGGATCAACAACTGGTTTTTGATGAAATCCTTCCAAAATTGAAAGATTTTAAAGACATAAGCATCCTTACTCAGGATGAATTACAACCAGGACAAATTTTTTTGTCTAGTTTAACAGAATTGGTGGATAAAGTTGATAAGACACTCCTATTCATCACGAAGAATGCCATGCAAAGTAGCTGGTGCAATCTAGAATTACTAATAGGTCTAGAGAGATCCCAAAGGAAACAGCAACTTTCAGTTGTTCTTTTACTACATGGTATTGAAGAGAAAGATGTATGTATAATAATTTTTGTTTTTGTTTTTGTTTTTTTTAAACTTAATTCAACCCTTCATTAATTCAGAAGGAATCAAAATTTGTGTTACTTATATCACATAATTGTGTGGTACATCATCAGCAGGCACATTCTTTGTAATTTTATTAAATGTTTGCTATATTCAGAAAAAGTAACAATGTTCCTTAATATGAATAATCTTAAACCTATGATCATGGAATTGTCATTGATGTTAAGATTTGATCTGAAAAATGGTCATTAATGAAGATTAATTTGGACCAATGCGCTATTTTCTTATCAAAGATGAGATGATTAAGATCATGATGGTACCCATTCACACACATACTTTATTCCAACTCTGAGGTGACCATGTATGCTCTAACTCCTAAGAGCAGAAATTTGATGAAAAAAGTAGCATCAAATTCGAATTTTCAAGTCTTTGACCTGGCTAAAACTTGACCCTATGACCTCACTCACTAGCTGCACTTGAGGCGAGCACATTACCATGAAACCAACTTTGGTCAGTTTGTTGTCTCTTTGACACATTCCCCATTTCCATTCTCAATTTTATTATTCTGTTTATTGGTCTTTATATAAGTTTCATATAAAAATAAGGAGATGTGGTTTGATTGCCAATTAGACAACTATCCACCAAAAAGTTCAAATGAACCACTAGCTAAACTTCATAGATATAAGAAGATGTGGTTTGATTGCCAATGAGACAACTATCCACCAAAGTTCAAATGAATCACTAGCTAAACTTCATAGTTTAGATTTTTTATTTTCTTTATAGATTCCACAAATTGCAGTATTACAAGAAGCTAGAAAAATTGTTTTTACAAAAGAAAATGATGCCTGGGTTACCAAGACCATTGAAAGGATAAGAGGTATGTTGAAATAGTTTACTGAAGATATCAGCTATAATATTTACTAACAAATGCAGACTGTTTTAGAAATTAAAAATCCATATAAACAACACAAGGACCTAAACTTAAAATGTTAGGTTGTTGTTTTATTGACACATATCCCTCATCTCCTTTCATCATAGATGTATGTTATACAAAATAAAAGACAGAAGATGCCAAGGGGACTTTCAAAACTCATAAGCCTAAGAGAAAGTAAAAATGCCATGACAAGCAAAATACAAACAATTTCACAAAACACTACACAGAAAATCACATTCAAAGCTGAAGGAATTTGCAAAATTGAGATTGGCATTCTTTTCTGTTATCCCCATGTATATTTGCAAAAGCTCCCTTTCAAAATATGCTGGATCCACTCATGTCTTGAACTATTTAAAAACCACTTAGTATTTCATGAACATTTAATTTAACCATTAAAATGTATTTTTTACACATGCTTGTGGTTAATTGGGTTGACAAATAAAATTGAGAATGGAGATGGGGAATGTGTTAAAGAGACAACAACCCAACCAAAGAGCAGAAAACAGCCCAAGGCCACCAATGGGTTTTCAACACAGCGAGAAAATCCCGCACCCAGAGGCGGGCTTCAGCTGGCCCCTAAAGAAAAATGTGTACTAGTTCAGTGAAAATGGACGTCATAATAAACTCCAAAACATATAAATGAACTAAAATTAAAAAAACATACAAGACTAACAAAGGCCAGAGGCTCCTGACTCCTAAAAACTGCCTCCTGTCTGAAATTATTTAAAATTAGGTGTATAAAAGCATGCATTTAAATGTAACAACACAGGCGTTGTGAAATAAGATGTATAAATATTCATCATAGTTTATTAAATCCTCCATATATATATCATCATAATATCACAACTTTTTCTTCTTTTATAAAAATTTCACATTAAAAATCTCCTAGTTTCAATTTATATAAATTTTAGGCAACGTCTAATATACAATATGAAAGAAACAAAATAAAGAACATAAGTATGTTTCATCTCTGTATATAAATTTTATACAATATAATCAAGTGCATAAATTTCTATTTCCACACTAAAATTTCCTTTCTTATATTTATCATAAAGTTTAATAATTAATCAAATCTATAAACTTTAAACAATGACTAAAATGTAATTTTCATAATGAATTTCCATACAAAATAACCAAATAAACTGTTTCTAAGTATTTTCAATTGTGAAATATGTTATCTCCCTTATCAAATTATCTCCCCTAATCAATACTGATTTTATAACATGTACTTCAAAAATATGACTAAAAACATGTTATCATTTGTAAATAACAAACAATTTTAACCAACTGCTAAGCTAGCAAAGCATTCACAATTAATAGCAGTAAATTTAATCTGTATTAACAATTCAAGGAACTCATGGTTGATAAATATAATTACTACCAGAAGTCCATTACTAGACGAAGTGTGCAACCCGCTATATAGTAAGGCGATCACGTTGTCCCCGTACTTCCAACTGTGATTGAAACGGGATTTGAGCGAGATTGCTATTAATAGCAACAAAACTCAATGGCCAAAATTTTTGAAATGCATTCTGGGTAGAGATAATTTATGCAAAACACCCTATAACTTAATTAGTACACAAATAATAATGTTTAACTATCGACGTGTTAATGAATAGCAGATCCTAGCATATTATATCAGTGTCATGAGTCATTATGATGGTTTTAATATTAAATGATAAATATGTTTGTATAATTTATCAATTTAAAAACTACAATTATAACCGTAGAAAAATTGTCAGACGGAATAAAAAAGCTCACTTCTTAATACAATTAACGTTTGGTTTTAGAGTTAATTGTGAAAAGAATTGCCATTAAAAAGTTGGCAAGGAAAAATTAGGTCGGAGAAATGTGTATCCATATACAGTACAAGTAACACTGGTTTAGAAATGAGTTTAATAGGAATAGACATTCTATTATATTTATTTTAAGAATATATGTTACGAATTACAAATTTCAAGAAATAAGTTTTTTTAAAAGTTACACGGGAATTCTGCCGATATAACCATTTTTAGCAAAATTAACAAATTGTACCCTCAATTTTGAAAAAAAAGAGGGGACATTTAATTGTATAACCTTTCTTCAATTTCGAATATCATCGATCCTGCGAAACTGAGATCTTGATGGTAATACTAACTCGGATGATGGTGTGGACGAACAAAGGTTATCATTTCAGTCAGATATTGTTACATTTATCCGTTAAAATACAAGTAAAAATGCCGTTCACAATACGTGCGTTCGACGTATAAATTTTATAGGTTAAAATTGTAGGACAAGTTGAGATCACGATCTTTGTAAACAAATGAGTATTAAATATATATTCTTTATGTAAGTATATCTTTATTTAAGTATACTTCATACAGAATTATGACGAATTCTTACTTCAAAAACCTATAGCTGTAGTTTAATTTGTTCAAATACTAAGTTAATCTCAAGGGTTAAGTTGGGCCGTAAAGAAATAAAGTAATACCTGGAATTGTCCGGTTCCAACAGTAAAACCCATTCTTACAAGCAAGGAATTGTATATTCAAATATACAATTCCTTGTTACAAGTGTGGGGTGTATACATTAATAGCAGCCGCGTCAGGTCGGATTAATGACTTTAAATCCAGTATCTCGCGTATTCAGAATGAATGTTACGATCTCTGATGTTAAATATAACACTTGCGACAACTCTTTGATGGGATATGCATGTTATATTTGACACTGAACGTAAAGCTAGCAACACACGATAAATCAAAACTTTAATCCGCATGATCTACAGATGTCTTCAATCTTGTGAGTATAAAACAAAAAATGGACTATTACACGTTGCAACACTGACTCACGTATACATCTTATGATGGCGAACGAATAGTCGGATATTTTGGACAAATGTATTTCGGGAGAAGCGAAGAAAAAACCCCGTCTTTTGCTTGCAGTAAGTAACCGAGACATAATTCGTCAACACAACGTTCTATTTAAAAAAAGAGGCAATTATGACTATATTTTGACAAAAAACTATATCTTTTAAATAGACGATACATTTTTAGTCCGACACGGCAGATTTTATTGTTCTCATTTGCCTTTGCGCGATGAAAAATGGTACTAATGTATTCGTTTATAAAATTTTATATCATTTTCTAAATGTTGAATTAAAATGAAGTTAAATAACTGGCAATAAGAAACAACCGCACTTAGTCGGCTCACTTCATTTACAACAAACTGATAATTAATAAAACACTCAAGGAGACTAATTAACAGCTATCTTTTTAATGATAATATTTGTTCCCATGATTCCATAGTTATAAAACGAGATTTGGGAGGACCACCTATGGGGCTTTCCACTGATAATGGGGACATCGTGATCGCCTTACTATATAGTACAGCTTGCACACTTCGTCTAGTAATGGACTTCTGTTACTACACATACCCTAAGTAAGGTGAGAGTAGACATCTCATTGCGAATAATCACAATCTTTATCAATCATTCTGACAATCATAGCTGATTACAATAATCTATAACACCTGCAAATAACATTTATAGTTCTAAATAGTTCCCTCTCTCAGAGTAATACAGATAGTATTTCTGATTTTCAACAAATTCTTTTTTATTTCTTCGCTCTCATTTTATTACATCATTACATCAAAAAAACTTTGATTCATCAAAACACACAACTAATCAAGACTCTTAAATATTAAAATATTTGCATAACGCTTTCCAAAACGCAATGTACCTTATTCCGGACTTATCATAAAAATCTAAATAGCTTCTCCATAACTAAACTTATAACTTGTGAATGAATTATGACTTTAATAACTTCTATATCTTTACTCTAAAACTGTCTTAAATGTATAATAACTTTAATTATCGTTTTTCACCTAAACCTTATTTTTACTCGAAAAAATTACTATTCAGTCAGTAAAATGTTCAAAGAATATATAAAAAAGAAGATAAAGATAAAATAAATAGATTTTAATTTTTATCTTTATCTTTTTTTTTATATATTCTTTGAATGTTTTACTGACTGAATAGTAATTTTTTTAGAGTAAAAATAATTTCTAAACTAAGTTTCAATAACTATACAAAAGGAAACAATTCAATCTAAAAAATTATCAAAATCTCCATCTGTCATGCTACATAAACTAAAACAGTATGACAATGAACAGATGTACCACTAGCTTAGAAGGTAGCAGAGTTGTTTAAGTAGTTCGCCTGCAGTAAACACTAGGCTTTCAACATTGAGGTTATGAGTTGAAACCCCAGTCTTGGCAAGGTGCATTGGACTCAGATCTTAATTGACTAGGATTGCTAGTTTTCCTGTCAAAAGTCAATGGTTCATTCTGGGCACTCCAACTTCCTCCACCAATAAAAAATGGTGGCCGGAATGTAACCAAGAGTGCTCAATGTGTCTTTAGCTGTTTAGCTTAAACATACCATAAAAAGAAAAAGAGTACTAATACTTTGTGTCCTTTTTACTTCAAAAATATTTTTAAATGAGAAGTATATGGAACAAGACTGATTTTGATACAACCACAGAGATCATAGACTTTAACACATCAGACTGCATAATTCCAGGTAAGCAATTCAAAACATTTCTTTTAGGTAGTATAGTAAACTTGTTTTTGCAATTTTAGAACAGACAGCGATTAAGAAATTAAATGTATAATAAAAATTTGTTGGATTTTTTATTTCAGAAAAAGAGACTATAAAACATTTGATGCCTGCAGGAAATGTAGCTCATGGTCTGGTATGGTCACATTATGCAGGGTTACTTCAATACATTCTACCAGGTATACTTTTTAGCTCACCTGGCCCAAAGGGCCAAGTGAGCTTTTCTCATCACTTGGCGTCCGTCATCCGTCGTCCTGCGTCCTGCGTTTATCGTCCGTAAACTTTTACAAAAATCTTCTCCTCTGAAACTACTGGGCCAAATTTTATCAAACTTGGCCACAATCATCATTGGGGTATCTAGTTAAAAAAATGTGTCCGGTGACCCGGCCAACCAACCAAGATGGCTGCCATGGCTAAAAATAGATCATAGGGGTAAAATGTAGATTTTGGCTTATATCTCTGAAACCAAAGCATTTAGAGCAAATCTGACACGGGGGTAAAATTGTTTACCAGGTCAAGATCTATCTGCCCTGAAATTTTCAGATGAATCTGACAACCCGTTGTTGGGTTGTTGCCCCTGAATTGGTAATTTTAAGGAAATTTTGCCGTATTTGGTTATTATCTTGAATATTATTATAGACAGAGATAAACTGTAAACAGCAATAATGTTCAGCAAAGTAAGATCTACAAATAAGTCAACTTGACCTAAATGGTCAGTTGACCCCTAAAGGAGTTATTGCCCTTTATAGTCAATTTTTAACCATTTTTCGTAAATTTTTCTAATCTTTTACAAAAATCTTCTCCTCTGAAACTACTAAGACAAATTTAACCAAACTTGTCCACAATCATCATTAGGGTATCTAGTTTAAAAAATGTGTCCGATGACCCCGCCCGCGAACCAAGATGGCCGACATGGCTAAAAAATAGTACATAGGGTAAAATGCAGTTTTTGGCTCACATCTCTGAAAACAAAGCATTTAGAGCAAATCTGACCGGATAAAATTGTCCATTAGGTCAAAATCTATCTGCCCTGAAATTTTCAGACCAATCAGGCAACACGTTGTTGGGTTGCTGCCCCTGAATTGGTAATTTTAAGAAAATTTTGCAGCTTTTGGTTATTATCTTGAATAATATTATAGATAGAGATAAACTGTAAACAGCAATAATGTACAGCAAAGTAAGATCTACAAATAAGTCATGATGACCAAAATTGTCAATTGACCCCTTAAGGAGTTATTGCCCTTTATAGTCAATTTTTTACAATTTTCATAAATTTTGTAAATTTTTGTAAATTTTTACAAAATATTTTCCACTGCAACTCCTGGGCCAAGTTCATTATAGATAGAGATAATTGTAAGCAGCAAGAATGTCCAATAAAGTAAGATCTACAAACACATCACCATCACCAAAACACAATTTTGTCATGAATCCATCTGTGTCCTTTGTTTAATATGCACATAGACCAAGGTGAGCTACACAGGCTCTTTAGAGCCTCTAGTTTTTAACAAAATGAAAGTTTTTGCCTTTTTTTTATTGAAGATGTTAGTAACTACAAGTGTACCTAAGTATTTACCACTTCTTAGACACTGTCCGGTAGAAGGAAGAAAACAATACATAAAAAGTCATGAACAAAAGATTAGTTCAAATCAGTCATTGCTTAGCATATGTTATAATCAAAAAACACATTACAAGTTATTTGTTAACTTCTGAGGGGCCCTCTGTGATGGCTTCTGTCACTTTTCTCTAGTTTGTTCTTGTATTCAGTGCATTGATTTATAGTATTTTAAACTGTAGTTCTGATGTTATTAGCATGCTTACTGATTTTTATGCCCCCACAACTGAAAGTTGGAGGACATTTTGTTTTACCCCTGTCCGTCCATCCTTCCTTCCGTCTGTCCATCCCATTATGGGTATATAGTTATTCCAGATAACTCCTCCTACAGTTTGAATGCTAGGAAGTTTTCACTTTGCTGGCTGTTTGTACACATAATGAAGGTGTGCATGTGGTCAGGGTTTTGATTTTTTATTAATATTTGCTCTTTTGGGAGATAGTTGAACTTTGTCATTTTTGGAGTATATACTTGCATAAGAGGTGCATAGTGTTTCTGCATAACTCCTTCTACAGTTTGAATGCTAGGAATTTTTCACTTTGCTGGCTGATTGTACATATATTGAAGGTGTGCATGTGGTCAGAGTTTTGATTTTTATTGATATTTGCTCTTTTGGGAGATAGTTGAACTTATTTTAAAATAACACTTTGCATCTGCGGGGGCATCATTTGTGTCTCCCAGACATAATAAAATCTCAAAGAAAGTTCTACATTGACTTTGTTATGATACAGTTACTTCAGAGTGGAGTGAGGGGGCATTTCTTTGTCTTGTCTTCTTTAGTAATTTATTTTGAATTTAATTTTACCTGCAAATGACATGTACACTTTTAATTATTTTGTTTATTTTTCACAGATTTGCAAAATAAACTGAAAGAATCTGAATGGTATAGAAATCAATCCACCAACCTTCAGAACCATGTGTCAACAAAGTTTTATGAATTAGTACCAACATCATGTACTTGCCATTTTGATCTGTCAAAAGTAGATGAAAATATCAAACTGGTCACAGTTTTGGAACTTTCCAATTCAATAAGAGGGGGAAACATTAGAAAATTTGCAGTGAAACTTTACAGTGTTACTGATGGTGATCAGGTGAATATTTATGTATGATATCTTTATCTAAGAGCTTTGATTATTTAATTTTTTCTGGTTCTTTATCCTCAGATTTGGAAAATCAATTGCTCAGGTAATAGTTCCTTAATTTATGTTACCTTGAGCTCCTTCCAAGCTGGTAAAAGCCTTGCGATATGGTTCATGTTTGCATGTTTTATCAAAACAGTCATTTTTAACTCTTCCACAGGGGTATATCAGTTTGTGCTTGCATGAGACATTGTAGTTGAATTAAGCAAACAATGTTTTTGTTTTCATTTATTAACCCATTTGAAAAAATCAATATAAGTTTTATAAAGATGTGGTATGATAACATGATTGCCAATGAGACAACCCTCCACCACAGCATGTAACAAAATTCTAAGATTTCCCAAAGTGTGGTTATATATTGCAGTAATTAAGATTAATGTTCTCTAAACGGTTTTAGGAAATTAAGTATTTTTATCTATAGACGTTACGAAAAAATTGTTTTACTTGAAATGTATCACTCATATTATATATAGTGTTTGTTCATGCTTTTCAAATACCTTTTCAGACATATTTCTGCATTTGTGAATACCCATGTGCCATAGGGGCAATGAAGGCAATGGAAGATCACCATTTAGCAAAGTTTAATATAGATGACAAGAAGTTACAACTAGCAAGATTTTACTATACCATGAACTCTGTGATAAACCATTTTGACATATGTAGAAATAAAGCAAGAGTTGTTCTTTTCAATGGTAATATACAAAAATGTAGTCTTGATATTGATAATAGTAATAATAAATGATAATGATAACTTTTTGCACATCATATAAAAAGGCCTCATGTGTACTATATGTAAATGTAACAGCAACCCAATTACACAAATAACCAAAAGACATTAAGAGATAGTCCTCAACAATACTCCTGTTTCTTTACAATATGTATAGTTTAAAATCACCCTGAGAAAAAAAGTTGTGAATAAATTCATCAGGAATGTCAATTAGTTGAAAATTAGTGTGTTTTAAACTAACACAAAACATAAGCCATTCCTCCCAAATAGGAATCACTTCCTGTCTAGTATTTACCAGTCCTAAAAAGACTCTACAAAATGCAAACATTTTATTCCCAATTACTATTTATGAAACTCTAATGTAGCATACAAAAAATAAAAATGAAATCATCCATCTTAATTTTTACAGATGAAACTGAGAAAGTGTCTGAAGTTTTAGTGAAAGCAATAAAAGAAGATTTACAATTAACTGAAACAGTTAGGACAAAGGTTTGTATTACTGTCTAACTTGTTTTCTTCTCTTTTCCCTTAAAAAAAATTGTTCACTTGCTCAGTTTTGACACATAAACATTGATCAGTTGTATACAAAATTAGGCTGTAGACACAACATTGTGCTTGACACAGTTAAGTATAGGCTAAGTAATAGGCAGGACACAGTAATCGGATTTTATGCACCAAATGAAAATAGGATTTTTGTCCCCTTTAGCCCCTAAAAGTATAGGAACTGTAAAAGAAATGCAATAGTCCTTAAAAGCTCATACAATGTGGAACTAAATAAGGCAATGAGAACAATGTTTCATGGCTGCAGGCTTTTTGTTGTTTCTAGATCTTTGATGTTTTACTCTAATTGGTATAACTAGAGGTTTTTATTTAAAATGTACAGTATTTATAATTTAAAAACACTCTTATCTATGATTGACCTATACCATCTAGATAGTTTGGATACCTTTAATCATTTTCAGGAGAGCCCAATCAGGCCTAAGTTGGAAGACTTAGAACCTACACCAGAACTTGAATACCAATATCAGGTCTATATAGCTCATTCTGAAGACAGAGAAGACAAACAGTGTGCTAAAGAAATTATTGAATACCTGGAACAGAAGGGGATACACAGTATTCTTAAAAATCCTGACAGCCCAAATGACCCAGAGGTGAAGTCTAATACACTAATTAAAGCTGTGAAAAATTGTAGGTGGTTTATTTTTCTGATGACACAGAATTCAGTTAAGGACAAGATGCTTCAGCTGAGGGTACTGGCTGCACTCCATGATGGTATCCTCAAAAGAAGGGTTAGGGTAATCCCTGTGGTAGATAGACGTAATGACATCTACATACCTGATGCTCTACAGTGGGTTACTTATGTACCTTGTAATGGACAAACAAAATCTCATCTTAAAAGTCTTCACAATATCGTCAGTGGTAGGTACCTGTTATTAATCAAAGAAAGATGAAACTTTTCTTTGTTTGGTTTAGTTGGTTTGTTATGGATGTATAATGCAAACTTTTGTGCAACCGACACATGTTTCTTGAATAAGCTTCATCAGGTCTGCTCGAAATCAAAAGGTCAGGAAACCATATAAATAATAAATTTAAGAGCATCAAAACCAAAAAAAAAGCCTTGACCAAAAATTCAATTTTTGATTTTGTTTACTTTCTCAAGCAGAATAAAAAAACAATTGTGCTGCAGTTCTTACAATCCTATCTGACTTCAGTATTTATTGCATTACTGAAGAAGCCTTTCCACTGATCCTGAAAAAAATATGCATATATCAATTTTATATCTGTCCTTCAACTACCCAACTTTACACAGTGTTTATGCTTGCATTTTTGTTTTATAAGTTCAATGAAAAAAAATTTGAAGATCTAGTCTGAATATTGTTAAGTATTGAAATCAATGTTGCTATGATGGAACAAATTAATCCTGTGATTTCAACTATTGATTTACAAGAGTTCATCCTGAACAATTTTGGTTGGATTTGGTTCTTTACAGGATATTTTTTGTATTTGACCTGTAAAATTAAAATAGAATTTACAACTTGCAAGACAATTTAATTAACACATTATACTTTAAAAGAAACTGACAGATCTGTAAATGATTGGCTCTGTTTTAGGAGAAGACTTTCCTTTGAAAACAGAGATGTTACTTCCTGCTGGAGATGTAGCCAATGGTCTTGCCTGGGGTTATGTTGTTAATTATCTTAGAGTCATCTTACCAGGTAAGTTTATCAGTATGCTGGAGATGTAGCCAATGGACTTGCCTGAGGTTATGTTGTTAATTATCTTAGAGTCATCTTACCAGGTAAGTTTATCAGTATTCTGGAGATGTAGCCAATGGTCTTGCCTGGGGTTATGTTGTAAATTATCTTAGAGTCATCTTACCTGGTAAGATCATTAAGTACACTATGCGAGAGAGAGCATAGTTTGTCAGTGTGAGAGACTGTTGTGATGACAGAGGAATATTGAAGCTATTTTCAAGGACTTTATCTTATAAGAAAGATTATTTGCAGAGGTATATTTAAGGGGTGGCACAGGGTGCCCAAGGCCCACCCTTTATGGAGCTACATTTATGGTTAATGCATAGACTTTTTGCATTGTTCTACTCCAAAGGTTGCCTAGTTTGTCCCCCCCCCCCCCCCACCCCCAAACACACACACACTTTCAAAATCCTGGATTTGCATCTGATTTGATACATAATTTTGGTCTATTGTTCAAATGATATATGAAGAAAATCATTGATTTTTCAGTTTTGCATATGCATAAAAGGAGTGGAAACTTTTACATAGAAGATTAAACAAATTTCTGATTTCAGATATTTGGTCTGTGTGTAATTTAAAATTTTGATTTTATTAAGGGTTAAAATAGAAGAAAACCCTCCTAAATAGTAAGCAAAAAAGAATGAGTACTAAGGACCTTTTTTTTTTAGATTAAATGATTAATCTCTATAGAATTATATGAATTACTGATAAGTATATGCAAAGTATTGATTGTAAAATCTAATTATTGTTTTGGATTTTCATGAAAATTATAAGATTGAAATAGGGGGAGGGGTCAATGGGTCCAAAAGTTTATGCTTTCTCATACTTTTCAGAAATTTTTACTGCAAGGCTATACCTCTTTTATATAAAGCCTTAGCTCTCCCTTTTTGAAAATTTTGAAAATCCTGTATCTTCCACTAACTGTCTCTCACATGTTATCTTGACCTTGACATCATATCATATTATGATTTTTTGGCAAGTGGACTTGTAAATGGGTATTTCAACATAAGGCAGTGTGTTATGTACCATTATCACCAACAACTGGTGTCTCTTGTTATATCTTATTGCTAAGAAGATTTGATGTTGATGTCTTTTTGTGGATTTTTTGTGTTGGATTGTTGTTTCATTAACATATACCACACATTTTGTTTGTGTTTCCTGCTTACGAGGACTTTTTTCTGTTGGTAGCACTTTCCCACCTTCTTTCCCTTTATCTAATTTCATGTTTTAATGTCTATTACAGCAATTAAAAACAATTAAGGAATTGATTTAGTCAGGCCCCATACATAAACCTGGAATATGTCGATCAAGCTATTATTTAAGTAATTTGACATGCAAATTCAAATTAGTTCCATTAGAGAAACTTGAACATAAATATTTTCAGATAAGAGATTTTTTGAGGATTTTGAGTTTTTTCTTCTTTTTACAGATGCTTTGAAAAACATTGAACAGTCATTTGAGAAAAAGAATATCAGCAATTATAAATGTCCTGAAACTCTGTTTATAATTATACCAAAGAGTTGTGATGCCAGAGGAGTGATGAAAGACAAAAATGACAGAATAACTAACTTTACAACTACTCCTGATATTCATCCTTTTGGTGGAAGCAGACCCTTTTCTTGTCAAATATATAAAATTACTGATCGGCCGGTAAGTCTGTTTTCATTATAACTCTTGTTCATACTTTAAATACTGGGAAGATGATATTGTAAGAGAAACAGAATGCGACCAGTGGGCAGGGTAGAATATAATGATATGATAACTGATTATTAAATGATTGTATATATATAGAATTATGAACATCGTTTGAATGTCAACTATATAACCAATTGGAAGCACTGAATCAGTAATTATGGCATAGAAAACTTATCTTGATTGAGGTCTACCACAGATTACCAGATTTGTTTTTTGTGTCCAGAGACAAATTCAGGGAGGGGGGACATAAAATTATATGGTTAATGCTTCCCATTCCTATGCTTCCCATTCCTAACATTGCCCCACTTCTTTGTAAATCCTGAATCTGCTTCTGGTAACTGTATCAATAAGTCTATCATGCCAAAAATATATTGAAATACAATTCTTGAAAAACATGATTCCTTGATAGATAATATTATGAAAAAAGCAGGGTTTCAAATTAAGTTTTTTTTTATAATATTCCATTTTATGAAATGAAGTTCAGGGGATGTATAGGAATCACTGTGTCCCTCTGTCTGTCTGTGTCAATTGTGTCTAACATAGAACTTTTGAATGCCATGGAGATTATTATTGATACTTGGTATTGGTGATTCCCACCATTAAATGTCTGCCTGCAAGGTTAAGGTCAAAAGCTTAGTTTGGTTTTACATCCCTACTTTCAAATATACAAAGTTGTGTCAAACAGAATATTTTAATGCCTTGAAGATATTATTGATGCTTAAAATTAAGGTTGACCACAACCAGAGAGTGTTTGGGAATAAGGTTGGGATGGTTGTCGGCAAGGTTATGATCAGTACTCAGGCAAAGTTGACATTTGATGGATTTGGCTAATTTTTGGTCATATATATCTGTTTGACTGATTCGGGTCTAATATATATCCTTGGCTTTCAAATATTCAGCTTTGATCATTCCTGATGAAGATAAAGCCAGAAAAGGGCTTCAGTCACATGAAATTTGTAAAGTGTTGTTTGCATTTTTATACGACCGCAAAAAAATTTTGTGTTCGTATATTGGTATGACGTTGGCGTCGTCGTCGTATTGTCGTCCGAAGACACATTGGTATTCGCACTCTAACTTTAGTTAAAGTGAATGGATCTTTATGAAATTTTATCATAAGGTTCAATACCACAAATGGAAGGTTGGGATTGAGTTTGGGGGTTATGGTACCAACAGTTAAGGAATTAGGGGCCAAAAAGGGGCCAAAAATAAGCATTTTTGTAACTTCCAGACATAGCTTGTGTGTTAGTTTATGGATCTCTCTGACATTGTACCACAGGGTTCCATATCACAAAGGGAATGCTGGGATTGATTTTGGGGGTAATTGCCTCAAAATTTTGGGAATTGGGGGCCAAAAAAAGGGGAAAAAAACAAGCATTTTTCTAGTTTCATGACAATAACTTGTGTATAAGTGTATAGATCTTTCTGAAATTGTACTACAAGGTTCCATATCACAAAGGAAAAGCTTGAATTTAGTTTGGGGGTAATTGCCCAAAACGTTTAGGAATAAGCGCCAAAAAGGGGCCAAAAATAAGCATTTTTCTAGTTTCCAGACAATAACTTGTGTTCAAATGTATGGATCTCTCTGATATTGTACTGCAAGGTACCATACTACAAAGGGAAGGCTGGGATTGATTTTGGGGGTAATTGCCTCAAAATTTAAGGAATTAGGGGCCAAAAAGGGGCAAAAATCAAGCATTTTTCTAGTTTCAGGACAATAACTTGTGTGTAAGTGTATAGATCTTTCTGAAATTGTACTACAAGGTTCCATATTACAAAGGAAAAGCTTGAATTGAGTTTGGGGGTAATTGCCCAAAACGTTTAGGAATTAGGGGCCAAAAAGGGGCCAAAAATAAGCATTTTTCTAGTTTCCAGACAATAACTTGTGTTCAAATGTATGGATCTCTCTGAAATTGTACTGCAAGGTACCATACTACAAAGGGAAGGCTGGGATTGATTTTGGGGGTAATTGCCTCAAAATTTAAGGAATTAGGGGCCAAAAAGGGGCAAAAATCAAGCATTTTTCTAGTTTCAGGACAATAACTTGTGTGTAAGTGTATGGATCTTTATGAAATTGTACTACAAGGTTCCATATTACAAAGGGAATGCTGGGATTTATTTTGTGGGTAATTGCCTCAAAATTTTAGGAATTATGGACCAAAAAAGGGGCAAAAAACAAGCATTTTTCTAGTTTCATGACAATAACTTGTGTGTAAGTGTATGGATCTTTCTGAAATTGTACTACAAGGTTCCATATCACAAAGGGAAAGCTGGAATTGAGTTTGGGGGTAATTGCCCAAAACGTTTAGGAATAAGGGGCCAAAAAAGGGGCCAAAAATAAGCATTTTTCTAGTTTCCAGACAATAACGTGTGTTCAAGTGTATGGATCTTTATGAAATTGTACTACAAGGTTCCATATCACAAAGGGAATGCTGGGATTGATTTTGGGGGTAATTGCCTCAAAATTTTAGGAATTAGGGGCCAAAAAAGGGGCAAAAAACAAGCATTTTTCTAGTTTCATGACAATAACTTGTGTGTAAGTGTATGGATCTTTCTGAAATTGTACTACAAGGTTCCAATCACAAAGGGAAAGTTGGAATTGAGTTTGGGGGTAATTGCCCAAAACGTTTAGGAATAAGGGGCCAAAAAGGGGCCAAAAATAAGCATTTTTCTAGTTTCCAGACAATAATGTGTGTTCAAGTGTATGGATCTCTCTGAAATTGTACTACAAGGTACCATACCACAAAAGGAAGGCTGGGATTGATTTTGGGGGTAATTGCCTCACAATTTTAGGAATTAGGGGCCAAAAAGGGGCAAAAAAACAAGCATTTTTCTAGTTTTCAGAAAATAACTTGTGTTCAAGTGTATGGATCTCTCTGAAATTGTACTGCAAGGTACCATACCATAAAGGGAAGGCTTAGATTGAGTTTGGGGGTGATGAATCATAAGGGGGTTCAAAAAATTTGTGGGGAGGGATTTTTTTTCCCCTTTTATTTTCTTTAAAATTTTCCATTTTAAATTGATTATTTCTGATTTATATGTAAAAGCAAATATAATGATATGGTTTGAATAGGTCAATTAATAATTTTTAAGTTCTTAGACCACATTCATTCTGTGTCAGAAACCTATGCTGTGTCAAATATTTAATCACAATCCAAATTCAGTGTGTATCAAGCTTGAATGTTGTGTCCATACTTGCCCCAACTGTTCAGGGTTCGACCTCTGCGGTCGTATCAAGCTGCGCCCAGCGGAGCATTTTATTTACAAATGATATGCTTTCATATATTTTTTTCCCTCTTATTTTCTTTTGCCATTTTCTCAGTGTTGGTATACACATGTTTGAATATATAAATATTTTATTCTATATTACAGGACAAATATTTTATTGGACAATACGCTGCACCTATTACATGTTTACAAGAGATGAAAGAATGGAGGATTGCTGGTGTTACTGCCGACACAATTTTATCGGAAGCATACAGTTTTTATGAGATTGTTAAGAATCTTATGGAGTCAGCTGATCCTCAAAAATCCAAATGTTGTGAATTTATTTATTTTGATGGTGAGTTTTCCCTTGCATTTGATACATGTTTATCAGTAAGATTGATTTGCACAATTGAAAAATTAAGAAATTCAATGTTGTGCAGTCTTATCGTCTTTATGAATGACATCTTGATCATCTAAACGTCCTAATATTATTATTCACACCATTTCTTAGATTGTTCATTGAATTGTAGCTTTAATTAACGGGTATATATTTTGAGGATACAAACTTAAAATGCTGGTGAAATTTAAAAAAAATTCAGAAATGAAATAAAAGAAATTGTTTTTACATTCAATACAAAAGATAGGCTGATCCATTTAACACTGGTTTGATGGTGGTTTCCTGATTTTTGGAAACTTAAGTCTGGACCTAAAAGTATAATATAAAAACTACTTTTATTCAAACAGCAATTGAATATATTGAATATTTTAATATCCCACCATTTCTAATTTGCCAGGTTATACAGTGCTATTCATGTCAATCATTTGGTTTTTGGAAAGATTGGAACTTGTTCTAAATCTCTCCTAAGGCATCGGCCTCCCTAACAACAAGTAGCACAGGTTAGCTACTTAATCTACAAAATATATACACACTGAAATATAGTTCCCTATAATTCTCAAGTCTGTTTACATATGCACATATAAACTTTGAAAAATTTGGGTATATTTTTTGAGCAGTTGATTCAAGAATGTATGTCTTTAAGGTGTGTTGATGTGCAGGCTATTTTTGTTATTTTTATTAGGTAATTAGAGTAATGATACAATATCAGTATGATTGACAACTGTCATGATCACCAAACAATCAGAGACAAGGTGGGGCCTTAATTACAATGCCCCACCTCCTCAAATGCCAACCACATTACTAATCAACCTCAATCTTACATAATTATACATGCAGACCCTTCATTATACATCTCAATACACAAAGTTTTGACCTCATTATTTAATACACAAATGTATATATTCATTGTTAAAGACCCTACATCAACTGTCAAGATGAAGAACAGGAATAAAAGCCCTGTTCATTGATAATTTTTTATGTTTTCTATGTATTCTGTGCGATTTTGTCCCATGTACATTTACTCCATATCCTTTCATTTTCTATTGATTCAAGAGTTTGTCTCTAGTGCTGTGTGGAGGCAGTAGAACGTTTCCCCGTGCTTGAGGTGTATGCTCTTATAATATTTACAGTTATGGTGTGCTTGTTCATGTGAGAATTTATCATATTAATACACCGTCAAAATTTCATGTTTGGTTAAATTTCTTCAAAATACTGGTCTGGTCATCTGTTTTGTATATTGCCCTTTCATACTATTTTTAAACTGGTAGGTTTTCTTACATATATTTCGATGTGCCCTGTGCTAGCTGTCTATCATTTGTTGTTTAGTTGTATATGTATTGTCTATCATTTGTTGTTTCGAAGTTATTGGTCTTTTGTTGGGCAATGTATGACAAATATATGTTTAAAAACCTCGCCTGTAATTATAAATTATGTATTTCAATGACTGCTCCCGACATGTGTAACTTTAAGGCATATTTTAGCAGCGATCGATGTCCTTGTAAAATTACTGCACTTTTCTTGTATTCCTGGTGCTTTCGACTGGAGAACCGTCGTACACAAGCATCGCACAAGTTGGCACTCCGAGGCGGGTGGGGAGCAAGAAGGTGAACTGTGGTTTATTTTTATCAATAGTACCGCTTAAGTCGACACTTATGTAACGGTTTATTTTTTCCTCTGTGATATTTTATCCTGGGGATAATTTGTCACAGACATTTTTTTCGAGACATGGTATTTCACAGGTAGATTTTTTCCAGAGGAGTGAAATTCTATCTGTCTTATGCGGATAGTATTTACCAGTATATATTTTCTGTTCCATATTTCACAGAACCTTGTGAAATAGAGTCCAACTGTCTACTATGTAAGGTACTCACAATCAATATATACCTGACCATAATTATAAATGTTTCACCAAGGTAGAACATATTTCCATAATTTATCAATCAAAGGGAGGTAATTATGAGCCATTTATATTTTACAGATATTATATTCCAGAGACCAGAATCTATTTCTTAGTGAAATTTTTCCTGTATTCTTAATTTTTTATATTAATTTATATAAAAAGATGACTTAAAACATGATTTAAAAAAAAAAAAAAAAATTCTACTTACTTTTTTATTTGTACTGAGATCTGAAAACAACTCACTTTTACCTGTATTTCACTTACCTTATTTTATATATTAAATTGATCGTGATATTATTTCACAATTAAGATCTGTGAAATTACTTCTTGTTTTGTTTCATATGTTTCATGATATTTGTCTTTTAAAAGAATGATATTTACTTTAATATTTCAGGATATTATTTTCAATTATAATCTCTGAAATTATTTCCCATTATAACACATTTATTTGGTTTTTTATTTACTAATTAAGCTTATATTCAAATACACTATTATTAGTACATAGTATTTGCAAAGATTAAGTTTTTTTATTAACTATTCACTAGATAGAATTTCACGGCAATGGATAATATATCACAGTGAAATATTTTCCTCCGGATAAAAAAATAACAACAACTTCTGTAACATTTTTTCCCCCAGATGATATTTCATCCGGATAAAATTTTACTTTACACTAGGGGCCGTCTTGACCTTGTTGTAGGGTATGAATGATTCGTTCATAGTTGAAGACCCTACATCAACTGTCAAGATGAAGAACAGGAATAAAAGCCCTGTTCATTGATAATTTTCTATGTTTTCTATGTATTCTGTACGATTTTGTCCCATGTACATTTACTCCATATCCTTTCAATTTCTATATATTACTGTAAATTCAGAAATTATTGCGATGTTTTTATCATTGCGAAAAATGCGACAGGGTTGTTATCGCAATAATTTAAACTCGCATTTTGAAATTTTTTATTTGAATTAAACAGGATTTTTCTCAATATCGCAAAAATTAAAATCGCATTTTAGTCTAAAATGACAAAATCGCAATAATAAATGCACGCAATAATTTCTGAATTTACAGTAGATGTTTGATATATAGAAATGATAGATTTATTTGTTGCCTATTACTTTTGATATACACTACATAAGTGATTTTGTAAATTGTGTCTGAAAGATAAATGATTAATAAAGGATTAACAAGATCTGTTTTCTAAAGAAAAAAGACAAAGTATGAAATATAAATATAAATATATAAAAGGAATTCAAGTAAGGCCTATAAATTACTTGATAAATCTGCAAAAATCATCTGTAATTAATCAATAATTTAGTTTAGTACACTTATCAGCGATTGGCTTGAAACAGCTAGTAATAAAATTTTAAAACTCTTACTGTGTATTAAGTATTATTTGTTGGATACCAATTTTCGTGGAATTCATTGGTACAGGTGAACTACGAAATTAAATGTTCAACAAATAACAAATTTTCTATAGGCTTGTAAACAGACTTCGGCAAAACCACGAAATTAAAAATCCGCGAACATGAAAGTTTCCATGAATCCACGAAAGTTGGTACCCATGAAAGTAAATTAATCCACAGTAATTAGAACAAACCAATTTTCTTTTTAGTGTATTCCCCATCAAATGTCTGTTATCAATTTTAGTCATTTGAATATAAAGAAGTGTATATATATTTTTACAATCAAGAAAGAATCCCTATTTTAATAAAATAAGTTTTTTAATTTATTTATGTTGAATTAGTACATTTTCAATGCCCTTTTCTGGAAGATAATTAAATTATAAATTGATTAAAAAACACTCTACAACTTGTCATATAATCATGATAATTGTTTTCAAAATCAATAAGCAATTCTCAGAGGAGACCTTAGGAGAAAAATAGTATACCTATGTTTCAACTTACAAAAATCCCAAAACAACCTTTTTAGATTAATTTTTTGACACAATAAAGTTATTAGCTTCAAGTCTATCTATCTGTTAGTCCTATGTCTTACAAGGATAATTGATAAACTTTATTAGAAGAATCTTTGTTTTGTAATTTCATTTGTTACAAAAGATAAAATGTAAAAGGTGAAACATGTAACAGGGAACATTATTCGGTTAAGATATAAACTGCAATGTAAACAAAATTGTTGTGCAAATTAAGGGACCCACTATCATTGATTCACATTTAGCTCATTTTATCTACTGAAAAATTGCTTATCCTTCTAAGAACCTGCAGTTAATGCAATTGTCAGCAATAGCGCTTTATTAATGTTCTTTTTTGTCCATACCATACCTAAATATGATTTGAAATTATTCAAACTACTCTTCCAATCTTTTCATGAGTGATTTCAATCACTTTGATTCTGTCATTTCATCGTTCAACCTATCTGTCTTTCTTACATTTTTCTTGTTGGGACTATTGTTTTGTAATGCATGATGTTATAGCAGCTTTTAGTTAAAATCAAGGATTTAAGTTAAATATAACATACAAAATTCTTATATTAATAAGATTTAAATGTTTAACTTCATTTTGTTAATTCGTCTTGTCATATTGTTTAATTAACCCTGTTAAGCAACTTACAATCAATCAATCAATCATTTAATTAACCCTGTGACTTTATCTTGATGAATCAATGGAAAATTTTTGCAAGTTTTGAAGTTACACAAATTGCAATAATAAAAATTTGTTTTAAATGAATTTATGTTTTTTTTTAAGATGAGAAAGAGTCTTTGGCTGATATAATAGAGAAAAAGATTGGTTGAAGACAAATGTGTTAACTCAGCATGCAGGATATAGATGAGCAGACAAATTCATGACAATCATACAACATTGCTTTCTTATCTGTGTTATAGCTGTCTCTTGCTTATTTTATGATTTTCTTTGAAACAAGTTTGAAAGAATGTTTACATTGGTATTTCCATAGTGCTCCCTCCTTCTTGATTTAATTTGATAAAAAAAATTACACTATTTTCTATAAAAAGTTGATGATAATTATGAATTCTAATTTTATTTTTATAATAATGTCTTTACCTTGACAAAAGCTTTATTAAAAAGACTATGTGTATATTTCATTGAATAAGCAAGTTTATACAACAGACTACAACACTATCTTGCTTCTAAGTAGTTATTTTGTCATGTACAATACATTGTATCTACCTCTGGACACTAGAAATATATTCCATGAAAATTGTTAGTCCGCAAAAAAGTCATGGTCTTCCTTTTTTATTTATTTTCTATAAATGCTTGATTAAAGTGCCTACATATGTTCTTTAGGTCACCATATATCAATTACTTGCATCACTGTAATGAAAAAGTATTGTTTTATATTTTTGTATATTGTTTTAAAGATATTTATTTAATGTTGATGTAATTTATTTTTTATTTTTTCCAATATGTGTGCCCATTAGTTTATTCAATATCAGATTAACATTTTGGTTTAAGTTAGTTTATTAAGAAGTTAATGTCACATCAACATCAAACACTCTACACATGCATGTTGGTTATGATGTCAAATTTAAAAAAAAATGCCAAATAATTTTTTTTTAACCAGATTTCACAGTTCACTGAACATGGAAATTTCATATAGTATGAGGAGGATATGATATATCCTATTGACAATTTGAAAATTATCTAAATTGATAAAAAGAAGTTTACTTATTTTTTACTGCTTATTATCTTTTTGTAACATTTGTCTATTAGACTATTGAACAAGGTAAAATATGAAAAAAATTGCAAAAGTATCTTCTATAGTATGTTAATACTGATTATACTTTTAGCACAATGTCTAAAATATGTCAAATGGTGCCTATGTTTAGAGTTTATATGCCATAATTTATAAAGTTTTTAAAAAATCTTTGAATTGTTTATTTCAATCAAATTTAAACTGGGTGATGTGTTGGGCTTTCTAATCTGATATTCTTATCAATCAACAAACATGGTGATCCCAAGTTTTAAATTTATATTTATCGTTATATATTATTTGTTTTTGTTTTTTGGATGAGTTGAAAGTTGATGGTTGGTACAATCATACTTTGGGGTCCAATTTAAGGACATCACATATACCATAATATGTTATAAATGTTGGAGACAATTGTTTTAATTTTTCCTAGCCTCCTCAGATATTTTGTGGCTGAATGTTTGTATATCTGTCCTTTGGTGATTCAATTTCATAATGAAGGTGATCCTGTTTGGTTTTGCTGCCATTATTATATATACAACATTAAGAAAGATTTAAAAAATATTGTCATTTTAAAATGAAACCATGGATATTCAGCCAATAATGTACCCAAAGGTCTTTCATAGATTTTGTGCTGATATTAATATTTTTAATGGAACTTTTTTTTTATATCCATGCTCTTTAGAAAGACTTACTAGTTACCTTTGTGAGCTAATCAGTTTATTCATCTCTGAACCAAATAGTGTATGAACGTTTCAGTTGACTGATGAAATGAAAACAAATAATATTTAACAACCAATCCTGATTGATGTTGTATTTTTTATTTCAAATTCCAGTGGAATCATTGATTCTTTACATCGATCAGTTCTATTCCCCTAATACTTAAGGGATGTGGGGAAAGGATTTGTCTAGGATCTCAGGTCCAATATTACCATATTATAGAGATAGCTGGCCTATAAAATTGAGAATGGAAACTGGTATTGTTTCAAAGAGACAACAATCCGACCAAAGAGCAAAAAAACAGCCCAAGTCCACCAAAGGGTTTTCAACACAGCTAGAAAATCCAGCACCCGTAGGCAGGCTTCAGCTATGCTTTTGTTAAATAGTTAAGTTGCAAAGCAGACAAAGCCCCCAGGAAAAAATATAAGATGCACTAGAAAGGCCATGACAATTTAGAATATATGTGGTTAAAAGTTGAAAATCTGGGCAAATGTAGATATACTTGCATATCCCCTGGTAACACACAGTAGTTCAGTGTAATGTTCATATAATGTCAATTCATAATCTTTTTGGCTTAGCGGTGTTAGTCTTAAAATTATTTATATGATCATCAGTTTATGATTTAGGGAGAGGGCCATGCCTGGATGGACCTTTTGTGCACTATGACTTCAAAACCTTTTTGTGCACTAATCAGGTATGCTAGGGCAAACAAGAATTGTAATATGTTTAAAAGTACAAGAAATTGTTCTTCAAAATCACTCATCTGACCTTAATGTGAAGGTCAAATGTCATCTTCAAGAATACATGACACTTCGTCTTGAGGTGCAACAATGTGCCCAATATAAAAAGCATATGTCAAAGCATAAAATCTCCCTTCTGGACAACAAAATGTCATAAAAATTAATTTAAATATCCAGGTCAAAGACCAAGGTCACATGAAGGTCATGATTCTACACAAAACCTAGTCTTATGGTTATACACCAGCATGTTCAATGTCACAGGGCACTCAAGTGTCAAATGGTAAAAGATTTTTTTTTGCTTTGTTATAAGCTGTTGGGTGTGATATATATGTTTATGTCAATACTTAGATTAAAGTTGTAATTATTATTCTTTGCACCATTTTTGTAAAGGTAGATGTTTTCATTTCAAAAGTAATTTTGGTAACAGTTTCCTAATAATGGGGTGTTTGATTTTCTAAACTGGAGTTAGTCACTGGGGGTATCATAAGCCAGTGGCAGATCCAGAGAGGGGGTGGGGTTATTGGGGGTGTTCACCCCCCTTTTATCACAAACACAAATTATTATATTATCTCTTTTACGATTTATATGATTTTTTAGCCTAAAATCGTCTAAAAATTTATATATATTTAATCCATTTTATGAAATAATACCCCCTTTCAAAAATCCTGGATCCTCCCTGCAAGCCCTTTAGTCAGAACTCCTGTGCTGACATAAAAGAGGGACGAAAGATACCAGAGGGACAGTCAAACTCATAGATCGAAAACAAACTGATGCCATGGCCAAAAATAAAAAGACAAACAGACAAATAATAGTACAGATGACACAACATAGAAAACTAAAGACTAAGCAACACGAACCCCACCAAAAACTGGGGGTGATCTCAGGTGCTCCGGAAGGGTAAGCAGATCCTGCTCCACATGTGGCACCCGTCGTGTTGCTTATGTTATTACAAATCCGGTAAATAGTCTAATTCGGTAAGTCACATTCGTGAAAAGGGAACAGTATTGTAGTTACGACATAAGGAACATATCCTCTGTGAAACGGTTATTCCATAACGGTCAACCAACTCGTGATGGCGTCCGTAAAATTTACGAAGGGATGATTTCAACTTCACCATTTGGAACTCTTGGCTTAAGGTAGATGGGGTGTCTAAATTATAATCCATAGAATTTTTTAATAATTTGCCAAAATGTAGTTTATATCATGCTTTTTAAAAAAAAATAATAAAAAGAATGGGTCACGGGGCTTATTTTCACGCTACAGGTTGTGCAAAATTGACAGATTTTGTATAGATTATGCATGGAAAACCCAATTTTCTGCCATAAAACGAAAACTACACCATAGAATTTTGAGATAAAATATGAGAAGATAGCTCTACTAGTATGCTTTCAGATAAGAAAAAGAAAAAACGGGGTCACGGGACCCGTTTTCTTGCTACATAATAAAATAAATAAATTCCTAGCACATTCTATTGTAAAAGTAACTTTATCTGAATTATCTGCCCTTACATTTGAGTTGCCTCCCCTTATGTGGCAAAGTTGGAAAAAATAGAATCAAACAAAAGTATTCTTTTTTTTTTTATAGAATACAACCATAAATATGATAAAATAGGTCATTTTCTATATTGAAATGAAAATTCTTACACATGAATTACCTACTACTCTCAAAATTTGCACTTTTTATTAAAGATCTACACCGATTGTTTTCTTGTATTTCAAAATCCAAGATGGAGGAAGACACCCTATCTACCTTAATAGCTTCCTTGTGAGCACAATCCTCTATCAAGAAAATCATGATAGGAAACACAAGCCCGGGAATATCGTATCAATTGGTATATATACTCCGTATGCAGGCGCTGCTGGAATGTTGCTACATGAATATCATTCATATGGTCATTTGCTGTTCATAAAATCAACAACAACATAAAAATGTGTAACCGGGCAGTGGTTGTAAAGCAAAATATTATACGAATATACATATATGGAGAAAGCTTTATTTAGATTCAGTATTATGAGTTACAAACTTCAAAACATAAGCTCAATAGAGCTTTTAACTGAATACATACAAACATATACAACAATATAAAAAACATAATCATGCAAGCTGAAGCAAACTAAAAATAGAGAAGCACACATAAAATTAAGCACAACATAATCATGGCACAGCATATTATAAATGCCAGCATAACTTTAAAAGAGAAAAGTATTAAATTTAAAATAACCACATTGAAATAAAATGATACTTATCTAAATGCAGAACAGCAACATGATTCCAAGCCATTCCAGGACAAACTAATTGTTGAACGGCCTTTCCAGCATAGAGGATACCTATTAAAGAAAGAATCACTTGCCTTACAACTGTAATAAGCAAAAGATTGACAAAATATTTAACCAGGGAATAAGTTTGTATCTTTATTAATGTTCCTTGTAAACTATGTTAACAATGTTTTACTTTTTCTGTAAAATATCATATGGCTTGATATTTCCTTTTTCTGTGCAAAATATAGTCAGCATGCATTATGTGACCAGGGTCAATGGAAAGAAACGGGGTAACATAGATGCATACCCATGTGGGCACAACGTTATTTCTATACATGACTAATATATAAAAAGTAAAAAACAAGGGATACTGGTGGACACTTGTAAGTAGACCCATCACTTTTTTAAAAATGATCCGAGTTTTCACAAAATTGACTGACTTATTTTACACTATACTTAAAATAAATGATACATATAAACATATATTTCCCCTAATCTGAAAAAAATATTATTCCTAAACGTCCGTACTTGATCCGTTTTTAGTATCTCCTAGATCTGGTTCCTTTGGACATGGGAAACCAGTCCGCTCTACTTTCGTTTTGAACAGTTAAAAAGAAAACCAGCAACTTTTTCAAACAAAAGCTGGTAAGCTTAATTTCATCATGTTCATTATTATCTGAGAAAGCGTCACAAAATATAAAGAACAAAGGTAGACTAAAAGAAGATTTGATGTAAACTTTGCCCGATACTGGCGAAGGACCACATAAATAATAATTTCAACGTTTGATTACTGTTCCTTACCTGGAAGAAGAAAAAGGTAAGTGAGAATACCCAAGGATAATATACAAAGTAAATCGTCCAATGTAAATTTTTTACCGTCTGATAGTAATAGTTGAGTAAATAAATACTTGTAAATTCGTTATAGCAGCTTAATTTCTACGAATTATAGTCATCTCGTATACCATTGCAAACTTGTACCAATGTCAACTCGTACCACTAAAAGCAAACTCGTACCACGGTAAATTCGTACCATTGCAAACTCGTACCAACTTATTTAAATGCATTCAAATGGTGTTAAATGACGAATAAATATTTAAATTTCCCTAAATAAATGACCAATTTGTAGCTGATTGTTCCTTGTCTAATTGGATGAAGAAAACTGGCAGATTGGCTTTGTTGTCTTCCTTGAACCGTTCCATTATTTAACTTTTACTGATAAATATTTCATTTAATGTTTAATCATTACAAAGTAGTTAAATTGAATAGATTTTTGCATTTATAGCTGTGTAAAGGTTTTTGTGCAGTAATAAAGAAATTCAAAAAAAAATTATAAAGATTTGCAAAAACAATTCAGAAAACATTTGTATATTGTATATCTGTTCAATCTATAATTCAATAAAATTCAGGAAAATTAATTAATATTTTATAAAGATTTGCAAAAACATTGCATATATATTGTATATTTTTAATGGTACGAGTTTGCAGTGGTACATTGAGTTCGCTATGGTACGACTTCGCAGTGGTACGAGTTTACATTGGTACGAGTTGACTTTAGTGGTAGGAGTTGACATGGTACGAGTTTGCAATGGTACGAGTTGACTTGCTTCCATTTCTACTCAGTAGACTACTGATCCTGTCAGGATTTTAACTAGTTAAAATAATAATCTGTGACGCCTTCCTACAACCCTTGCAAGGCTATTTTATTTTTTCTGTGATGGTTGCAGTGATGGATCCAGGGTTGTTTTTTTTTACGATCAATGCATGCTTTTGTTATATTACACAATAAATATACAATATATGTACATTGTCTTAAAATATAAAATTTATTTGTATGAGCTTTAGAAACAGGACAAAAAGCGAGGCTGAGCATTTCTCCTGTTTCGTAGCGAGTACGAAGAAATTTTATATTTTCCAACAATGTACATATATTGTTTTTGTCCTGAAATTTACACCCAAAACTTGAAACTTTAGTTGTTAAAATCAAAATGATTGTCTCTAATTTTCAAAGAAATCAACATAGTATAAACACATACTGCGAAAGTCTCAGGACCCAAAAATGAACTGTTACACAAAAAGAAATATCCACATTACCGCTTGCTCAACATGGAAGTGGGATAACAGGAGACTTTATTTGTACAAGTACAATTAAAGCAAAAATTTATTTGTGTACCTGTTATTTGTACAATAGTTGGCTGATTGCAGGATAACAAGGTCATGAAGGTATATTTGAGATTCGATATAGTCCTTATAAAATAAAATTGAGAATGGAAATGGGGAAATTGTGTCAAAGAGACAACAACCCGACCAAAGGGCAGAAAACAGACGAAAGCCACCAATTGGTCTTCAACACAGAAAATCCCGCATCCAGAAGTATTAACAACCTTTCTTAGTTCTTGTTTTTACAAATTAAAAGATGAAAATCATTAATTCCACATTAAAAATTCAATCTTTTCTTTCAGTCAGAACTTGCTGGATTAACTTTGTAGTTTTAACAGGTGAATGTTGACTGTAGCATGAGCTTTGCCATATATGTAGCTTCAAGGCTGTTTATGCAGTTTGCATGGATGCTTTATGATTATAGGTATAATTTTAACATACACCAAGTAGAGAGGAATATTCTTCAAAAACTATGACTGTTCAAACAGTCCGGGATCTTTTCAATAGTAGTCAGTGACTCTCTAAGTATTGCCTGTTTATGGTTTCATTTTGTTTTGGAGTCAGATCTATGGTTGTTTGTTGAATTCTTTCATAGAGATTAATAGCTTGCCATATGATTCATTTTTTATGCCCCTGCTGAGAGTTGACACTGGCATATTATACATAGTTGGTTTATAGATGAGAACTTGTGTTGTTTAAGCCTCCAACAATCATTTGAAGTAATGACTACTTAACACAAATTATTGCCTCTCCGGTGTTTATATGCCATTTGATAAAGTGGAAGATATCCTTTTTATACGACCGCCCGCAAACATTTGTTTGCGTCGTATAATGATATGATGTCGTCAGCGTTGTCCGACACATTTGGTTTCCGGACAATCACTTTAAATAAATTTAAGGTAAATGGATCCCTAAGAAATTTTACCAGAAGGTCCAATACCACAAAAGGAAGGTTGGGATTGATTTTTGAGGTTATGGTACCAACAGTTTAGGAATAAGGGGCCAAAAAGGGGCCAAAAACAAGCATTTTTGTAGTTTCCAAACAATAACTTGTGTGTAAGTGTATGGATCTCTCTGAAATTGTATCACAAGGTTCCATATTACAAAGGGAAGGCTGGGATTGAGTTTGGGGGTAATTGCCCCAAACGTTCAGGAATTAGGGGCAAAAAAGGGGTCAAAAACAAGCATTTTTCTAGTTTCCAGACAATAACTTGTGTTTAAGTGTATGGATCTCTCACAAAATTGTACTACAAGGTTCCTTAAAACAAAGGGAAGGCTGGGATTGAGTTTTGGGGTAATTACTTCAAATGGGGGGGGGTTCAAAAAATTTGGGGGGATTTATTTTTTTCCGATTTTTTTGGGGGTTCATATTTTTTTTCTTGAAAATTTTTGAAATTTCAAATAATTGCACAGTATTGCTCAATAGCAAGAAATCTTCAATTGCACAGTATTGCACAATAGCACAGTATTGGGCAATAGTAAGAAATCTTCAATTGCACAGTATTGCGCAATAGCAGTAAATCTTCAATTGAAAATAAATACAGATCTTTTAACCAATTTAAATGGGATTAATTTAAAGTCTTTAATTTTTGGGGGTTCTAACCTTGTATTACTTTTTTTGATATTGGGCCCCATTTTTAAATTGGTCTACATTGAGGTAAAAAAATTAAACTTTGTGTGATTTCATCAAAAACTGAATTAATGCGGCTGTATGATATGCTGAATCTTATTGCGCATTTAGATTTTTTAATTTAGGCCCTGTTTTCAAATTAGTCCAATTTTATTTAGGTTGAAGGGTCCAAAATTAAACTTTGTTTGATTTCAACTAAAATTACATTTAAAGTTTGCCTCAACCAAATGTTATGAAACTTATACACAATGCTTATTACCACCAAATACGGATCAAGTTTGAATTTTGGTAGCATCACTCTAACCGTTTTAGAGTTATGCCCCTTTATAAATGGAAAAATTGCAAAATATATAGTTTCCGTTCTCTTACTTAAGTTTGCCTCAACCAAATATAATGAAACTTATACACAATGCTTATTACCACAAAATACAGATCAAGATTGAATTTTGGTAGCGTCAGTTTAACCGTTCTAGAGTTATGCCCCTTCATAAATGGAAAAATTGCAAAATTTTTAGTTTCCTTTCTCTAACTTAAGTTTGCCTCAACCAAATGTTATGAAACTTAAACACAATGCTTTTTACCACAAAACACAGATCAAGTTGAATTTTGGTAGCATCACTTTAATCATTATCGAGTTATGTCCCTTTATAAATCGTAAAATTGCTAAATTTTTAGTTTCCGTTCTGTAACTTAAGTTTACCCCAACTAAACATTATGAAACCTATACATAATACTTATTACCTTAAAACTCAAATCAAGTACAAATTTGGATAGCGTCACTTTTATCGTTCTTGAGTTATGTCCCTTTATAATGTTGTATGCAAGCGGGGTCATCATCTGTGTCCATGGGGACACATTCTCCATTAATTTTTTTTTATATGCTGAATCTAACCATGTTGTTAGATTTAGATATCAGACCAAATTCTAGGTAAGTTAAATGTCCTATTTCAAAATTTTAAGATCTTTGACCACATTTATTTTGTGTCAGAAACCTATATTATGTCAAAAATTTGATCACAATCCAAATTCAGACAGTATCAAGCTTGAATATTGTGTCCAAACTTGCCCCAACTGTTCAGGGTTCGACCTCTGCGGTCGTATCAGTCTGCGCTTAGTGAAGCATTTTATGTTGTTGGTTATACACAGTTACTTGAATAACCCTCTGCCAAATCTTTTGAAGTTAATTTGCGATGTGATAATGAACCACAGCTCACTACACAAAGATCCAGTTGAGTTTTGGCTACTTTTTTGGCACCTATATAGTCCATTTGCATATATTCAGTAATTGAACTAGAGATCCATTCGTAGTTGTTTTCTTTGGAGGATTGTTCATTTTCATTGACAATGAAGAGCTAGCAGAATGAGCAAATTTTTAATTGGGTAATGTTTGTTATATTTAATTACGTTTTTTACAATTCGTTTTTTTTTTTAAAACAAAATCTTTTGATATCAAAAGTTATTTTTCAATGAAAATTAAAACACTTATATATCACTTTCAACTTACCAATGTATTATGCTATACATGTGCAGAAGGTAATTTTGTCCTGGATAAGAACCAGTCTACTAATTGTGTTAAAAGTGTGTAATAACAGAATCAAATAGTTAAATTGGCAAATAGACTATTTAAAAATTAAAATGTATTGTAAACCTAACAAATTGTTCATGAGACATTATTAGAATGCAGATTTTAGTATTCATAGTTTAGAATTTTGTCTTGCATATTTGCATTGCATCAAGGTTTCATATATTGAATTTAGTGCAAAACTGCACACAAACTGCTGAAATATCCACATTTTGAGATCTTTGCATTGCTATTAAGATACGAACAAAGGGTTTACCCAAAAAGATATTTGGCTACAAAATGTATATAATGGAGGTGCTTAAACGTCTATAAAAAATTTTTTGTGATAAAGCCTTTGCGTATCACTGTTAGGTCCATAAATGGCTAATTTGGATTAAATCATATCTGTAACTACTTGGTCAATTAGAACTAAACTCATTCTTATGGTAATAAGTTTAAAAGATGTGTCTCAGACATGATCCAACTGGTCAACCAACATGGCCCCTATGCTACAAATAGAACAATGGGTAAAATGCATGATAGATAGAGAAAATGTGACAAGAGTAAAATAGTTATACAGTGAAGATCGACCTACTACTGATTTATGTCAAATATATAGGAGTTTTGGCCCTGTAGGCATTTTTTACTATTTTTTTTTTAGCTTTTTCCAGTTATCTTAAAATCTTAAATAGATAGACAGAAACTTTATGAAGCAAAAATGATCAGTAAAATTATATATTAAAGATATACAAATAAGCAAACCTGTCAGAATTATCAGTCCAGTCTCCTTAATCTCTTAATCTAAATTCTTTATTAATCCCCTACAGGGGACTTTAGGTTTGCACTCTGTCTGTCTGTCTGTCCATCCGTCAGTTCGCAAATCAGTTTTCCACACTTTTTTTCTTCGTGCTTGAAGATATTGATTTGATATATGGTGTATTGTTTAATCATGACAAGTTACAGACCAAGTTCGAATTTTGTTTTGGTCTGATGATTTTGTGCAGAGTTATGGTCCTTGAACTTAGAAAATTCATTCAAATAATCAGTTTTCCGCACTTTTTTGTCACGCTTAAAGATTTTGATTTGATGATTGGTACATAGTTTTATCATGACAAGTTACAGATCAAGTTCAAATTGTGTTCCGGTCTAATGATTTTGTACAGAGTTATGGTCCTTGGACTTAGAAAATTCACTCAAATAATCAATTTTCCTCACTTTTTTTCGTAATGCTTGAAGATAATGATTTGATAATTGGTATATAGTTTACACCATGACAAGTTATAGATCAAGTTAGCATTTTGTTTTAGTACAATGAATTTATAACCGGTAGGGGACTATGTATTGCCAGGCAATACTCACAGAATGCTTGTTTTCTATAGACTCTTGGTTTTCGATTGCACTATTGTTTTGTTCCTACCTTCTTTTTATACCAATGTGATCTTATAATAAAAAAAATATTGGTGATTCAACAGAATGAACTTAGTACATAAATCTCATTAGCAAATATTAACAGTGTAATCAGCGACAAGCAGACACTATGGTAAGGAAATTTAATTTAAAGATACTTTGACTTCCTAACCACATAGAATTGTGTAAGCAAGTAATTTGTTTAAACCAGGGTCTTCATGTGAAACAACATTATTATGACAAATTTTAATTGAGTTAAAAACTCAGTTGATGGGTATAGCTAGAAAAAAAGTGATTTGACTGGTTTTATTTCAACTCTCTGTTAACATGTTTTAATGTATAGTTTTGTCCTTAAATAGTATTGAAAATATTTGTCCATTTAAGTGCTTTTGGCTTGCATAAGCAGTGATTTTTTTTTCTTCTTTTAAGAGTTTTCTATCTTGTTATGAATACTATTTTCCAAATCAAATTTGGTTTTATGTATATTAAACACCAATTGTATTTTTATTTTCAGTAAAAGAATGGCAGATAATACTTCCAGATACTTCATATCTCATAGCAATAAATTTGAAGACCGTCATCTTGTAAATGAGGTAGTTATTCCAAAACTGAAAAAAAAAGGTATTATTATTTATGAACAGGATGAATTACAACCAGGAACACATGTCTTACCAGCCATTACAAGCTTGGTAGATAAAGCAGACAAAACATTGCTGTTTATCTCAGAAAATTCCTTAGGCAGTTCATGGTGTTCATTTGAGCTGCTGATTAGTTTGGAGAAATCTCAGAGGACCAACAGACTTGCAGTTGTTTTGTTACTACATAAAATAGAAGAGTCACAGGTATATAATATTGTATTTATAATTTCTAGCTCTTTTTAGTTTTACCACAGTTTCTTTTGATAAAAACACAAAAACAAAAATATAGCTGGCTTTGTATATTCAAGTTTCTTATTGCGAGGACTTTTCTAAAAAAAAAAATTGAGCAAAAATTGACAGAATGTTCCTTTGATGGTCTTTGATATTGTTACTTTGCTGCCTGTCTAAATCAGAAATTCAAAGTCGCCTCCAGCAGATTGCAAAAAATTTCATTGCAACACATTTAGAAATATAATTTGGATTTTACTTTACAATGACAGATGAATTGAAATGATATAAAACAGTACAGAAATGATCTTTAGAGGGTACTTACTAATGTTATATCTTTGTTCCTGATGACCCAATATAGCTTAAAAGGGCAAAATTTTAAGATTGTCTGCTAGCTAAAGAAGTAGGAAACCTGTTCATATCAAACGTGCTAGATATATTTCTTTGAATGTCCTTTACTAGTGTTGTAACTTGCTTCCATTTCTACGTGTTATTTGCTTGGTTCTGATGGAAAGCCCAATGGGTCTTAACTTGTCTAAAAAGGGTCAGATTCGTCCAAAGTTTAACCAATGAAACCAAATTTGACAGATATATTTATTTGAAGGTGCCAATTTGATATTTTAAACTACCTGAGAATGAATCACTTTCTGCTTGTTCTCATACAGTCATGTCTTGGCCGTATATTTTTGTTGTTTGTTTCTGGTCAATTTCTTGCAACTTGCAAGTTGTAAAATAGTGATCAGTAATGAATAAATCTGTTACAGGGATTGTCATCCGTCTGACAATCGTGTCACCTTGATCTCTATTTTGTAAGATAAGATCTACAAATAAATCAAAATGGCTAAAATGGTTGGTCATATCCTTATTGGAGTTACCCCATAAATGATGTTTTTTACAATTTTGTTTTTGTTTTTCCTTGTAATCTTGAAAACTTTAATAGATAAAGAGAAACTTTAAGTGAAATAAATGGAAAATGTGTCCATGGGACACAGATGATGACTCAATCTGCTTACATATAACGTTATAAAGAGACATATCTGAAGAATGGTAAAAGTTACGCCACCCAAATTCTAACTTGATCTGAGTTTTGTGGTAATAAGCATTGTGTATAATTTTCATAACATTTGGTTGAGGCAAACTTAAGTTCGAGAATGAAAACCATTTTCGGGACGTAGGGACGGAAGTACAAACGGACAAGGGTAACACTTAATGTCCCCTCCGGTGCGGCGTGGGCATAAAAATGATCATCAAAACTGTGAAGATCTACCAATTTTTCAGCATGGCTGAAATCATCTGTAGACTTCTATAGGAGTTATTACCCTCAAATAAAAAAAATTACCAATTTTGGGGTTTATGCCAAGATAATGTATATGATAACAGAAAAAAATTGAAAATTGTAATATAAAAAAAAAGTAAACAGCAAAAATGAACAAGACACAAGATCTACAAATGAGTCAACATTGCAGAAATTTTCAGTTGACTCCTTGTAGGAGTTATTGCACTTAAATGATGATTTTTTTTTTACCCTTTTTATGTGTTTGGCAAAAACTATAGAAGATAAAGCGAAACTGTAAACAGCAAAAATGATGAGCAACAAGACAAGACCTACAAATAGGTCAACAAAGTTATTGCCCTTGAATGACAATTTTTACCCATTTTTGTATTTTTGGACCAAAAAAAAATAAAAACTATAGTAAGTATAGGGAAACTGAAAGCAGAAACAAGTTACCAGTATAAAGTTACAAGTATAAATACAAGATCAACAAAAAAAAGATCTTAGTCATGAACTATATTATAGTCTTTAATGTTGAAGAGTGGTCATTGTTGAAAATGCCCCTAAATCCAGGTGAGCAGTTAGTCTAGTTAGATACATTTCTTTAGTTTTAGTGACTCACTGAAACCTTGAATATAAATTCCTTCTAAGAATAAATACTTTCAAAGTAAGTTTAAAAGCATATTTTCAAATTTTGGAAAGTGAAGAAAAATAATTATACACATTTTTATCTCACCTGGCCTTAAACCCAACGTGAGCTATAGCCATCACTTGTTGTCTGAAACTACTTTTAACCAAACTTGGCAGTAATAATGTAAGGAAAGTTCTCTACAAACAATCCTCATTTTGTTCTGAACAGTAAATTACATTTCTTAACTAAATTATTTTTAGCTTCCACATATTGCAGTTCTTCAAGAAGCTCGTAAAATACACTTTGATGAACAGAATGATGAATGGGTGAGAGAAGTAGTTGAGGGATTAAGAGGTTTGTGCATTACATTGACTTTAATTCAATAGGGAATTTGTGATAATCGGTTTAGGAGATAAGGATCATCTGCTTGCAATATAATTTTCTTCTATAAATTTCTGTGTGATGTCAAGTAATATGTCTGACCTGCAACCTTTTTTTCGGGGGAAGCAAGACATTAGTGTTATTATTTGTCACTAGTCATTAAACCTAGACTTTAGTTTTTCTGATAAGCTCAAAAGTCAATTTAATTTTTTTTATGTTAAGGCCTTTGTCATGAACCAGTTGATGTCTCTCGATAAGTTGCATAGATATTGCATTCTACTGTCTTCCCTAGACAAAAATTTATATTTCATTTGGAAAGTTCTGATATCTGTGTTCAAATCAAGACAGGAAAATGTCCAGTTTACTGTATTTTAGGGCATCAGAAAGATTTATGGGGAGATACATGACTTTCAGATTAAAAAGAAATATATTTTTTTCTGACAAAGCATAATCTTAGCTCTCCTTACTATACAAATTTCTTTCTAAAGAATTTAAACAGGTTCAAAACTTTCAATATTAAAATCCATTCTTCTTGCAAATACATGTACTGTAAAAGTTATCGATTTCATATCACATAAAATCAGGATAAGTTCTGATTTCAGAAAAGGAGGTCCGGAATTTATTATTGGAATGATGTTGTGTTTAGTTCATATGACATTCTTTCTTCTCTTCTGGCCACACAATATTAGAACATGACAGATAAAGTAAAGAGTTTTCTATCATTTAGTGTCTAGATTTGTAAGTGAGTGATGAAAAAATTTCCAAACTAATAACCCATAGATCATTTTAATACTTTTTTGGTTTCCAAATAAGCAAATGTAGGTTAATTAGAATCTGAAAACTGTACATGTATGCAGATACAAAAATAAACAAGGATACTCCAGTAGTACCCCCTAAGCTTTCTTCAGGTGAACTAATACAGTTGAATATTACTGATGAGCTAATTGCATAGGAATTTCATTTTTTTAAAAGATGTTGGTTATAAAAACTGAAAAGAGCATAGGGGAGTTTTTTCGTATCATTTCTTCTTTGATTATTAGACAGCTTTTCTTGATTTTTCCTTGCAGAAACAAAGACAATTGGTGACATCATGCCTGCTGGAAATGTTGCTCATGGATTAGTCTGGTCCCATTATGCAGGACTTCTACAGTATGTCTTGCCTGGTAAGACTAAAAATAAAAATATTTATTATGAGCTAGTGCCAAAGACTTTCTCAAAGAAATCTTGGTGGTTTTGCATTTTTTTCAGGAATAAAGGAAAATGGAAGAATGTAATACCTGCTCCAAATGAGACAGGTATACTGTTTTACCCCTGTCGATCTGTCTGTGTTCCCCATTAACCCCTAAAATATCCATCACATTTTTCTCAGGAACTACAAATCAGAGCTTCCTGAAATTTGGTATTTGGCTTTATATGAGCATGCTATACTGTTTGATTTGTTTTCACCTTCTTTGCCCATCCACTTCTTGTTAACCAAATACTTCTATATAACTATAAATTCAGAAATTATTGCGTGCGTTTATTATTGTGATTTTTATACGACCGCAAAAAATTTGCATTCGTTTAATGCTATCATGTCATCGTCGTCCGAAGACACATTTGGTTTCTGGACAGTAACCCCCTTTTTCAAAATCCTGGATTTGCACCTGAAATCTTCTGTTTACTGCATACTTGAATATTTTTTGGGCATGTATGAAATTTTCCTCGCATTTTTATCAGGAACTACAAACAAATCAAAGCACCCTGAAATTTTGTATCCAGTTTCAATTGAACTTTAAACTATTTAGATAAACCTTATTTATGTAATGTTAAGGAGATTCTTTTATCATATTCATCTTTAAAACTAGCCATAAAAAAGAAGATGTGGTATGATTGCCAATGAGACAACTCTTCACAAGAGACCAAATGACACAGAAATTAACATCTATAGGTCACCGTACGGCCTTCAACAATGAGCAAAGCCCATACCGCATAGTCAGCTATAAAAGGCCCCGAAATGACAAATGTAAAACAATTCAAACGAGAAAACTAATGGCCTAATTTATGTACAAAAAAAATGAACGAAAAACAAATATGAAACATATCAACAAACGACAACCACTGAATTACAGGTTCCTGACTTGGGACAGGCACATACATACAGAATGTTGCGGGGTTAAACATGTTAGCGGGATCCCAACCCTCCCCTAACCTGGGATAGTGGTGTAATGGTACAACATAAGAACGAACTATAAAAATCAGTTGAAAAAGGCTTAACTCATCAGATAGATACAAATAGAAATACATCTAACAAAAACACAGAGTGGACGTGGCTGGGTACTTGTACATCCCAATAACAAAAAGACACTAAGTACAGATCTGAGAGTACTCGCAGTTACTGACAGCTAGTTCAAAGCCAATAACAACTAATAAAAAACATCATGCATCTAAGACTAAATTATCAATCATTACACATCCAACATCCAATGGATTTAGTGTAAAGACGTCATAAACAATCAGAGAAAAACATGACCTTGTGCAATGCCAAGATACAGGTACAGACAGATTGTAGATCCATGAATGTGCATATGTATATAACAATAATATTTAGTTTGCTTTTAATTTACTGATAACAAACTCAATATTAATACCAATAAAAACAATATTCAAAGATCTAATTACAGTGTTGAATTGGTAACCTTTTAGAATAAGTTTATTTAAAGGATCGATAAGTTTACCAGGATCTTTTCTAAATTTCCGGGCACGGTAAACAACATCTCAGTAAAAATGAGGATGTGCTATCCCTTTTGAAATAAGTTTTCTACAAGTACAACCAAACTTCAAAACCAAATCTTTATATCTATGGAAGAATTTAGTAAAGGTTTAAAGTAATTTGTGGTAACGAAATCCCTGACAATAATAATTTACCAGTAATACATAGATTACGTTCATTAAAATCCAAAATGTCAAAACAGACATGGGCATAGCGAACGAGTTGTGATATATAAACACCGTAAGATGGTGCCGAAGGAACATCACCATCCAAAAAGGGAAAATTAACAATAGGGAACGAAAAATCGTCCCTTTTGTCGTAAATCTAAGTGTTGAGTTTCCCGTGTAAAACTGAAATATCTAAATCTAGGAAAGGACAGTTATTACCGTTTACATTTGATTTATTTAAAGTAAGTTCCTTTGGGTAAATTTCGGCTGTATATTTAGAAAATTCTTGATTATTTAACGAAAAAATATCATCAAGATAACGGTAAGTGTTGTTGAATTTATCAATTAAATGCAATTTAGACAGGTCTTTACTGAGTTCGGTCATAAACTGTGATTCATAACAGTACAAAAACAAGTCTACTATTAAAGGGGCTGAATTAGTGCCCATAGGAATACCTACAACCTGTCGATAAACTTTGTTGCCGAAACGTACATAAATATTATCAAGGAGAAAATTAACAGCTTCAATCATCTCATCACAACTCCAGTAAGTATATCTAGCATATATTCCTTTCTCATTAGAGAAGAAGGCTTTAAATGAGTTGCTGCAGATATATTTGCATTCAGATTTACCGAACGACCATTTAATTAAATAGGGAAACTTTTCTTTGATAAGATGTCAATTTAACATTTCAGAAATTTTCTTTATATTCTATAATTGTCCCCTGTGTAACACGTTGCAGGGGACATAGAAACACCGAGCGTCCGTCAATCCGTCCGGTCTTGTTAGCGCTCTCACATGTACAATTCTTGCCAGATTTTTATAAAACTTATATCATAGGTTTATATCAGCAATGTCTTGGACAAGTTCTGATATCAGTGCCGATCATTTATTTTTAAAAGAGTTATGCCCCTTGGAAATATTGATTATATGGAAAATTGCATTGTTAGCGTTCTCATTTGTACAATTCTTGCCAGATTTTTTATGAAACTTATATCATAGGTTTATATGAGCAATGTCTTGGACGAATTCGAAAATCAGTGTTGATCAAATATTGTCTCGCCTGCAACGAAAGTCGCAGTTTGCGAGACATAGGTATTACTCTCCGGGGGCGGCGGCGTAAACTATTTTGTAGAAAGCTTTATATTTCAGAAGGTAGAAGACCTGGATGCTTCATACCTTGTATGCAGATACCTTATGTTACGAAGTTTCCGTCTGTCATATGCCCATTGTCCTTGACCTCATTTTCATGGTTCAGTGACTGTTTTTTTCGTCATGTGAATTTCTCACTTATTATGAGTAATAGGATAACTATATTTGGTATTTAATATGGGTTCCATGCAACGTCTACTTGCTACTTGTCCGTCAGACAGGGTTAACCTGACCTCGACCTCAATTCAGGGATCAGTGATCAAGGTTAAAGTATATGATTAGGTCCGTTTCTCAGATACTAAAAGCAGCAGGTCAACTATATGTGGTGTATGGAATGATTGTAAGGTGTACATGTCTGTCTAGCTGGTGTCATCGGACCTTGACCTCATTTTAATGGTTCATTGGTCAATGTTAAGTTTTTGTGTTTTGGTCTGTTTTTCAAGTACTAATAGCAATAGGTCAACTGTAATTGGTGTATGGAATAATTGTAAGGTGTACATGTCTGTGACAGTTTTATCTGACCTTGACCTCATTGTCATGGATCTTTAAAAATGTTAAGTTTATGTGATACTTGTAGTAACACCTTTATCTTTAAGACTTTCAATATAAAACCAGTGGTCAGTAAAACAGGCAAGACAATTCAGCATGTGCACTCTTGTTTTTAAAAGAGTTATGTCCCTTGGAAACATTAATTACATGGAAAATTGCATCGTTAGTGCTCTCATGTGTTCAATTCTTGCCAGATTTTTATGAAAATTAAATCATAGGTTTATATCAGCAATGTCTTGGAAGAGTTCGAAAATCAATGCAGATGATCTATTATAAGACATTCGTATGATGCTATCATGTCATCGTTGTCGTCCAAAGACACATTTGGTTTCCGGATAATAACTTTAGTTTAATTGAATGGATCTCTATGAAATTTTACCAGAAGGTTCAATACCACAAAACGAAGATTGGGATTGATTTTGGGGGTTATGGTATCAACAGTTTAGGAATAAGGGGCTAAAAGGGGGCCAAAAACAAGCATTTTTGTAGTTTCCGGACAAAACATTGTGTGTGAGTGTATGGATCTCTCTGAAATTGTACCACAAGGTTCCATATCACAAAGGGAAGGCTTGGATTGAGTTTGGGGGTAATTGCCCCAAACGTTCAGGAATTAGGGGCAAAAAAGGGGTAAAAAACAAGCATTTTTCTAGTTTCCAGACAATAACTTGTGTTTAAGTGTATGGATCGCTCTGAAATTGTACTGCAAGGTTCCATACCACAAAGGGAAGGCTGGGATTGAGTTTGGGGGTAATTTCTCCAAGGGTCGGGTTCAAAAAGTTTGAGGGGGATTTTTTTTTCAATTTTTTTTGGGGGGGTTCATACTTTTTTTTTCAAGATATTTCAAAATTTCAAATTTAAAAAAAATTTTTTTTAGGGGGATTTGTTTTTTTATAATTTTTTGGGTTTTTTCCTAAATATTTTCCATTTTTACATTGATTACTTCTGATTTATATATAAAAGCAACAAATACTGATATGGCAGGAGATAAACACCAAACACGGTGTGTAAATTATTATATATAACAGATTAACTAAGAATTGTGCAACAGCACAGTATTGCGCAATAGCAAGAAATCTTCAATTGCACAGTATTGCGCAATAGCAAAGTATTGCGCAATAGCAAGAAATCTTCAATAGCACAGTATTGCAGATTAACACAGTATTGCACAATAGCACAGTATTGCGCAATAACACAGTATTGCGCAATAGCAAGAAATCTTCAGTTGCACAGTACTGCACAATAGCACAGTATTGCGCAATAGCACATTATTGCGCAATAGCACATTATTGCACAATAGCAAGAAATCTTCAATTGAAAATAAATACAAATCTTTTAACCAATTTCAATGGGATTAATTTAGTCTTTAATTTTTTGGGGTTCTAACCTTGTATTACTATGTTGGATATTGGGCCCCATTTTTAAATTGGTCTACATTGAGGTGCAAAGAATCCAAAATTAAACTTTGTTTGATTTCATCAAAAACTGAATTATTGTGGCTCTATGATATACTGGATCTTATTGTGCATTTAGATTTTTTATTTT